TTTTCTCTAAATGAGACATAGCTTTAACATTTGTAAAATATTTATATGTTCAGTTTTTGCGAATTCTCGAGTACTTTATCTATAGCGAAGAAATCTATTCGATTTCAATCATCTATTTTGAAACGACGAGTGACATCGGAATTTCACCGAGAATTCTTTTTAATGGCTTTAAGCGTGTCAAACATACTTTAGATACCTACAATTCAACCCGTCTAAACCAGACCTACACGCGCTATTGCGCAATAAACGTACGACCCATTATCAATCGGCCCAGATTGGAAATTTACGAAGGGAAAAGTATGCTAGAATGCAGATACGTAATGGATTTCAATTATGGGTCGATATTTAAGTCAATGGCATTTATCAAGTGTTAGCAATATTACTCAATAAACGTTTAATGCAATTATGTCAAAATTAAAGGTATTTTAATATTTAAAACTGAGAAATTATTTTATCCAATTTTTTATGAAATTTGAGGGGAAAGAGTTGATAAATGTATTAATGAATGTTATTTTTAATTATATTAATGGAAACAGGCTTTATAAAATAAACAGTTTTTATAAAATACAGAAATTAAAATATAGAAATTGAAAGATTAATTTGATCTTTATTTGATATATTTACTTCATGATTTTCTGACAATAATCAGATATTTTATAAATTTAGTTATATTTCGTTGTCCCCTATTCGTTGCAAAATTAATAAAATTTGACAGATTTGCCCATGATTTGTCGACACAAAATTGAAGACTGTTTATTATAAAATTAAGCTCGATTGTGTGGTTATTAGTTAGATCCTTTGAAACTTTCTGGCCTAAAGATAAATATATATTCAAACCTCCATTTAAAATAAAATAAGATTTAATATTGCAAGAAAGAAACATATAAAATCTAATTTTTCCTGTTTCGAACGAATGTTATTTTTATTCGAATTTTCCTTCGTATAGAATTTTTTGAACAATCGAATCTTCAAACAAATCAATCAAACAATGCAATTATCGGTTCTGTTCTCCATGAAAACCGTTTTGATTTGTTTAAATATTTTTCGAAACTGTTCAAACACTTTGACCACATCGAATCTGTATAAATCCGTGTCTAAACATTAAACTAAACTATATAATTAAAGAAACTGTTAACAATTATGCAAGAAGATCGTTAATACATGGATACAGACAATTGGGTAAAGCAAGAATTCAGAATAGCAAAGTTGTAAAAGGTCTGCTTTAGGCTTTAAGGTTTTACATTTAACAGTTCGTGTATTCGGATTTATTGCATTCTTGTTTTGAATCCTTTGAGGGAGTTCGGGACAAGAATGCAATAAATCCGAATACATGAATGGGTGTCTTTCGGAGTAAATATTTGAAAATAGTGGACTGAAGAAGAGCAGGGGAGTAGGCGGGGATTGAAATAGATGGCAGAAGAGAAAAGATCGAGTAAATAGATATAGATATAAACCGTATAAACGGTTAGTCAAGAGGAATATGTAGAAAGCTAGAGGAATAGACGGAAATAGAGAGATCGCACATCAAGGTGAATCTTCGTCGGCGACGCTTCAATGCGTACGAACGCTGAGGTACGTGTAGCACTTTTGATTACACTCGATTATCTTCACTTGCTTTTGATCGCCTCCCGGCTCGAGCGCAATAAAAAAATCAAGTTCAAACGTTGAACGGAGAATTTATTGCAAAAATAACGCGCGTGACGATTTTCACTTTTTGATATTTGTATCACGTATATAACCACAGCCATAATTCGCCCAGCGTGTAATGCATGATTAAGAAAACAAGACAAGAGGTGGTTTATTTCTATCTGGGATCAATCACTGCGAAAACAGTAAAACTCTTCAACCTACCTTTAAATAGATCAAGAAAAAACGGACGGTTTTTACTGACGCATATTATTCAGAATGCTCTCTTAGTCATCCGAATCACGCGTTTTGCATCGAGCTTTATTACTCATGGATTAATTACGGCTGCCGTAACCGGAACTTTCTCGCATGAACAGCGTTCGATCGGTCGAGCAGTCGAGCGACGAAGGTTCGGTGACACGCTCGGAATCCCGTTTATTATTTTATCACTTGAACGCTTTGCTATTGAGTGCCTCTGTGTACATGTCCTACTGGTACGCATAAATATTTATAATACAACCATCGCAAATTGTCGGATTAATAAAATATCTATGTGCCTGTTTCCCTCATTTTCTTTTATAAGCGTTTGTTTTTTTTTTTCTAGGTGGCTATGTTAGACATTTCTCTTTTTTTAGATTAATTCCGTGTTTGATAGATTCAAAAACAAGAGCAGTCAGTTTTTTTCTCACACAGTAAAGAATAAGTTAAGCGTACTGAAACAATTTTATAATTAATGTAACTACGTTTGACTTACTTTGAGACGACGGAGTAAGTTCTTTTGCGCCATTAAATTCATTATCTTTGTTTGAAACTAAATTAAACATATTATCTCTTTCTCCTGCTCATTTTTTCATTTGCCTTTCTTTCTCTCCTACATTCCTACTTCTTCTTTTAAGAATCTTCTTCTTTTAACTGCGTTTTCTATACATATATATATATATATATATTTATTATTTGTAAGGTTTATCTTAGATGTAATTTTATAATTGTATATTAAAGCTGAAAATCGGCGAACTTAACTTTGTTTTGAACGTTTTATTCATTACAAACAGAACATTTCAAACAATACCGTAAAACATTTTTTCTTATCTAATCGATTAACATAAATTCAACCACAATACCATCGATTTAAATCAACAGGAATAATAAAAGTACTTAAGGGAAATTTGCAGTAGGAACATAAAAAAGAAAGCATTCGTTAACAATTTCAAAAGATTTATTAAACTGAAATCGCCAAACATAATATTGATATAGCAAATAAAATCTTTAAAAGCAAAATTGAAAACGTTGCAGCCGAATTTGTTTAATAATTATGACGGCGTCAATTCTGGGTTCAACTGCTAGAAATTATTAAATGTCCTTTTCCAATAAAATTTAGGAAACTACATAAAATAATTATTTGTATTATTGCAATTGTCTACGTAAAAATGAGAAAAAATAATTCATAGCATTAAGCTAGAAAACTGCGAGATTTAACGCCGCCATTGAACAATCAACAAAAATATTTTTCAAAATACTCTGGTGATGTTGCGGTCCACATCAATTATTTATCTTAATTTTTGAATTATAATCCTGAATTATTCTTATAATTGTAATCTTAATATAAAAAATTATTTAAAAATCATGCAGTTGTTTGTAAATAATAAATTAAAAATCATTTAAATTATATTACTTCGACGACTACATTTAATTTGTTGATTTAAGTGTTTTTGTATGCACAATGTATGAGTAACTTTTGTAATAAACATTGTCTTAGGCACCTCAAAAACTTTGATATGCCGCACACGCATCAATAATTTGTTATACATTTAAACATTTGTTAAAGAATTTTCTTGCATGATAAGTACGTACAAATAATCGTATATTGTATAATAAAAAATAAATTAATATAACATACTGCTGCAAAAAATATTGAGCGAAAATATGATTAACATAATAAGATTAAACCGTCGTTTTAATGGAAGTTTAGCAGTATTATAATATCTTCAATTTTGAATGTAATATTTAATTAATTATTTAATTAGTATCAGTAGACATCGAAAATACGCCAATCAGCTATATTAAAATATCAGATCAAACGAAAACAATTTTTTCAGGATAAAAATCACAAGTTCATTAATACAAAATCTGTTTTTCTTTAAATAATGTCAATTTTTTAACAGATCGGCGGTTGGACGTTTAGGCATGTTGGGTTATGATATCATAATTGAAAGATCATATAAATTCTTTTTTTGGATTATATCTCGAAATAAATATGGCTTTCTTTCCAGTCTATGTTTACTAAAGCAACCTTGGAGAATAAATAATCGACAAGCGAGAGGCTAACTACTTATACTAATTCATAGAATAAAAATAAGTCATTATCTCATTTTGCATCTGGTAAACATAAAAAAGTTAATATCGCTTAAAATCTGTATAATATAAATAAGCACAAATAAGGTAAGCGCATTAAACATAGCGTATTAGCGATATCATCAATTAATCGTACGGTGTTTGCGGAGCAATATGTGTTTTTTGTAACGTGTATATGGCACGCGACATAAGTACGTTGTTATGTCAATTTATGTGCGATAACCTACTGCGAGAAAATCAACATATAATCTTTTATTTGATGTCATAATCCAATATGACTGGAAGGAGAGAGAGAGAGAGAGAGAGAGAGAGAAGGAAAGAAAAAAGAGAAGATAGAAGGAGAGGAAGCAAAAGACATAAAAGAGAAGGGAGGAGGATGAAAGGAGGGACAGAAAGAGAGAATAAGAGAATCTTATCGCGAGCAAATGAGCCAGAAGTACGCTTACAATAATTAAGTAATCCGAAAGTAACGATTCGCTCTATTTCTTTCGTGATTACTCATATATTTATAACGCAGAGTCTCTCAGGGTACGAGAACTAGGATTAACACCAATCATCATTAGTGCAACTGACCCGACGGGTGTGCACGTCTGATTGCTCACATCTCCGCGCTTTCATAATACTGAGCAGCAGTCATCCCTTTTATGCTAGGTTGATATTCGTAAGTAACAAATCACAAGGGTGTAGTGACTTTGTACACGAGTGCTGCGTAGCAGCCCGTAAGGGGTTCGTTCAGATGTAATGTCTTTAAATCGACATCGTGTAATTTCCATCCTCGTAATCTTCGTCTCGAGATCATCAACAACAAGTAAATTTGTGGTGAATTGTCAAGGGATAGAGGAGGGAATGGAAACAATTTCTTTCCTCTAACGTTACAAAACCTGGTTATAAAATGCTAACAATAATATTCAAATTATGTTGATCATTTCCCTGCATTTATATGTTCATAGAACATCGTTAAGAACGCGGACGCCCCATTTAGACATACTTTAAAAATCTCCATAATTATATTGAGATTCTTGTAACAACGGTAAATTGTAAAATTCAATGCTGGTCGCAATATGCTGACTCCGTACTCCGAATTCAGAATGCAATTTTGTAGCGATATCGTATTGGGAATCATTCCGTTTAAACGAATGTGTGTGTGTGTGTGTGTGTGTGTGTGTGTGTATCGGGATACAGTCTGCCTGTTTTCGTATAACTGTTGTATAACCGTTGCCTCGCGTCAGGTGCGACCTTCGATCGAAGGCAGTGTGGACCAATAGTCAAACTCTTAAACTCGCTGAGGACATTTTACATTTCTTCTTCAAAAATAACAAGCCGCGAAAAGTCGCACTTCTCCATCTAAACGTTCGTTATAACGAAATATTGGTATTTTTATCTATAGAAAAATGTCGAAATTAATCACCTAGACGAAAATTCAAGTGTTCTGAAATTAGAATGTGCATAAAAAAGACTTTTGACTTTTCGCATTGTAACTTTTCAGGCAAATGTAATTTACGTTCGAAGGTCGCGATACAACTCGCGAAGGTGAGTCTAATATAATTTTGCGTTTGTCTCGCACTATCTATCATATAACTACCCTTAACGGTAAATATGTTTCTGCTGGTATTCAATAACGCGATCTTGTTGGTAAGACGGTTAACCAGTCTGCTAACGATTTGTGCTGCACTGATTGACGACGATCTCGAAAAATCTCTCGAATAGCGTTCATGCGAAATTAATCACACAAATAAAAAAAATTTTATAATATTACACATGCTTCGGTCTTTTATTAAAACGTCTTTTTATCACGTTCCTTTTGATGTGTACGTAATTTACGTATTATTCAAGTTTCCAAAACCGAAGAACAGAATCTGTCGCAAAAATTTTATTTCCTACGTTTATATGCTTAGAAAATTAATAATGTCACTTACTATGCAATTTCATGGGATCTAATACACTGTTCTACTTTGAGATTAAATGAACAGTATGCTACCTAATTAAGCACACCTTAATTGTTACTGCAATTTTCAAGAGCCAATGATCCGCGATGGAGAAAATTGATGAAGTGTTTGACCAATAGCTGTGATGATAAACGATCTGTGAATCGACGTAATTAGTACTCATTTATAAACATTCTATAAATTATCTATCTACGTCAATTTTTGAATAACACGCGTTGAACAAATTTTGCCAATGCTGATTCATAATGAGAAAAAGTTGGCGCTAAAAATGTATAAAAATTCAATCTAACGTGAAAATATAAATGTATTTCACAATAAACGCGCTGAGAGACGTTTATCGATCGTCAATAGGATTGCCTAAGATTCTAGATTTCATTAGCAATGTGCCATGTCTTATCTCCAATTTAAAATTTAAATTATTTGTCAACTTTTGCTATATATTGCATTTGTATCAAAAAAGAAACTTTCCGATAAAAAATTTTATTAAAAATGCAATCATCAACGCCACTTTAGAATAAATCCCTATTAATTTGTATTATTCGTCAATTTATCTATTTCATAACGCGGTAACGACTATCTAGATCTGAAAAAGACGCGGAGATAAAAAGATTTGTCCGGCAACCCTCATCAGTAGCAACCAAAGTTATCAGTTGCGTCAAAGTAGTAAACTTGACTAGTTCATAAGCGTGTGGTCATCATGCACGTTTTAGCTATGTAATTATTGCAATGATAAAAATGCACTATGTTTTCCAATTCTATTACCAACTCGACGCAGTCATGCAATGTCCGATCGATCGCAGTTTTCTTTTCGAACTTTTGGATGCACGTTGCACGGTTTTATTCTGGTTTCGTTGAAATCGTATAGTATAAATCTAATATATATAAAATAAATATATTACACTAAAGAGAGATTATACAATAAAGGAAAACGTTTTTTCTAGCGAACCCTAGTAATTTCATAATTCCTGGTGTAAAATATCGGAAATAAATTTTTTAAAATTTATAAAACGGCAATGAATGAAACACATGACGGCTGGTATACTGCACAACAAGTGTCAACGGTTTTTCGCTCATTTCTGCTCAGGTGCTTGCGCACTTTTTTCTCCTTCCTGCTAAGATCCTCTCGCGACAGTCGATCCGACATCAAAGATTCTCTCGATAAAAGTAATAAGTATCGTTCGGTAATACATACGCGTATATAAAATTACCGACGTTGTTTTCCGGCGAAACGAAAAAAGAATTGCATTACAATCCGCTACTAAATTACCACCAATTATCAATTACCAATTACCACCAATTACCAATTAAATAGAAACCTGTGTATTTCTTAGAATTAAATAAATACAGTATGTACACATATGTGTGTGTACCCGCGATCTGATCAGTACATACGTATACTATCTATAGCTTTTATCTTTTCTCTCCTTTTTCTTTTCTTTTTTCTTCTTTTCTTTCTTTTTTTTTTTTGATAACAGCCAAATCTTTTTTACGGGGAAATGGCATGACTAGAACGCGCTTACTTCTTTCTCCCTTTGAATTATTTTAAGGCAAGCTCACACTTTTTCTCTCGCACGCACTTCTCTTCTCAGTTTTTCCCCCCTTCTTCGTTTGTCCTTCCTTCCATCGATTCGCTTTCTTCTCTTTTCCTGGACACACTCGCAAGCACACCCATATTCTCAGATACCTATACATGCATACACATACATACACATATTCATTTAGTACGTCACGCGAACATGTTCGTTGTTAATCGTCTCAGAGGATGAACTTATATGAGTTCCCGGCACAATTAGAGTTCGTTCTTCGCGAAATCGTATCGTCCCGATACCGCATCTGTGTCCTGCAATCAAAATCGAGGATCGCTTAAAAGACAACGCTAAAAAAAGACATATTTACTCAGATTAAAATATAATAAAAATAATGAATTAGGAATGAATAATAATTATTGAATGGAAATGGAAGATAGAAACACGGATTAAGTATCGGATGAGCGCAAAAATTCTTGCATCTTTATCAGAAGGTTATTAATTTATTTAATTAATATTTAATTAATTTCTTTTATAAACAAAACGTTCGACTTAATCATCTAATTCTGCTTCTATAATCTTTTGTTATAGGTATAACGTTCTGGATAATATTCATATAGCTCCATCATAAAAGATTGGTAGTCATAAAAAAATGAAGAAATGTAATTGCTGAGTCCTCTTTTCATAATGAAAGTATAATCGAATCAGACTCTTATCCTCATTTGACAGCTAATCTTCTCAACCTTATATAAATGCATAGGCATATTTTACAGTAATTACAAACTGCTAGACGGTATCTCTTGAAAAAGGCTAGAACTTTTGGACTCATTCAAGAACTTAAAGAAAGAAAATATTTAAATTGTAAAATAATAATGTAAGTAAACATAAGCATCTTTTTAATTTGCGTGACATTCATGAAGCTTGAATGTCGATGATGTTGTGCGAAATTGAACATGAAAAGTCTGTAATAGTAATAATTCACTATAATTAATCTTAATTTGAAACATTTCCGTGATAAGTTTTCAATATTAATTAATTATTAATATTATTAATTAATTAATGTAATTAAATTCATGTAAAAGCGAAATAACATTCCCAAGATGTGATAATGTGAATTTTAAATTTCCAAAAATGACACAGCAGGATGATGTTGACGTATACTGCAAATAGTCGAACTGCAATACGTTTAAAAAATTAGAGATCTTCCGCTACTCACCGGTTAATAGTTTCGTTGAGCACGTGCCTTGGCGGACGCCAGAGCTAAGATATAAGCAGTGGATAGGCCGACGTAATGTGGCGTCATATTGGCCTTGGTTTAGAAACCCTGGATCACGCCGTAGGCCTCAAGGGTGGACATGATGAGGTAGAGCAGCCAGAGGGAGAACAGGAACACGGACGTGATGACCTTCGGTATAAAAGGCCCGCCTAATTCACCGCCGATCGACTTCACTCGTCTCACCAGCAGCACCAGGATCACGAAGCAAGCCTCGCTGCAGAACAGGGTGACGGAGAAGGCCAGGCTGCGTTTCATGAAAGAAAGTCATTCGGATGCGTAGTTGGGCGATGGAAGCGACAGTAAAATTTTATTCGGGATTTTTGCATAGAGAGACGCGATTCGAGTGAGCGACCAAGAAATCGAGCGTTCAACTCTTTTACGAAGATCACTCAAATCTCTGTCTTGCTTATTAATCTAAAAATAGAGAACTGTAATGCACTCTCTGCTCTGTAATTCCACTCTCTACAACGTCTCTGTATAATGCACTCTCAGAAACTGAGCCTAGAATTTCAATCGTTTCAACAAGTATACATGATGCAACACGGTACTGTATCATGTTCTTGTTACAAAATGCCCAATAGCATGCGATACAAAGCCGCGTACAACACTCCAGTGGTCGACTCGTCGAAATCCTCGTGAAATAGGATACGGTGTCAGCGTCGTGGCGTAAAAAATTGTACGCCATGAAATAGATACTTTTTAACAGGTATTTAATATTTTAACAACAGTATTGTTTTTCACAACGAGTGCGTACAAAATGTTTAAAAAAGTAGAAAGCCATTCTCTCCGTGCTAATAGTATTATACGAATTTTGGGGCAGTGCCGATCGTTTCGATATCACGTGGAGTGTCTATTGATGTGGATAAACGGTCTATCTCTCGGGTTCTTCGAAATTTCACTAATGGCAATTTCGTCGAGCGGAACAATGGCAGTCGCGTTAACTGTCGTCGTCTCGCGAGGGCGATGTCAGCCAAGTTGCCGTCGCCGAGTGCTTCGATCAAATATCTTAGAAATAGTTTCACGAATGAGATCGTAAATGGGGAATGATGGTTGGTTATCGAGGTCACGCTTTACCTAATCTGACGTAACGTTATCTCGTTCCGTGTCATCGCGCCATATCCGATTTCGACGATCTCAAACTAGCCGTGTGCCGAAAACGCGCTCGCGGATTATAACTTACTAATTGAGAACCAATTTTATTGTTAACTTAAGCAATATAAATACACGCATCTCCATACATACGCGTATACAAATTTTCATTACAGAATTAACGAGAAATAAATGTTCAGTAATATCTCCACAGATCCATGCACCAAATTTTATGCATTAATACATAATGAAGAATTAATATATAATATAATAAAGAATAATTTTTTTATTATCTGTTGTATCAGAAAGTGCTTTAGGAAAAACATGCGTTTTAAATGGTGAAAATCCTCATGCCTTGGATTTGAATGCAAGTGTTTAGTAAATTTTGCATTTTTATGACACTGAATGTTCGTAATTGCTTTTATTACTTACTTGCCAGGTTTGACGAGGAACTCTTCGTTGTGGCAAGCACGGTAAATGGCGGCGATACTCCACGCGACGCCGATTCCCAGGAAGACGTTTACCGCGTTACTTCCAGTCACATTGCCCACACTCGCGTCAGCATACTTGTCCTGGCAAGCGGCCACTTTGCTCGCGAACGTGTCTGAAATAATTCCGAGTCTTTGTTATTCTAATGAGCAACGTGCACGGGACTATCAGTGCATGCACGAACAACAAGATTTGTTAGAATATTGTTATATTTGAACATAACTATATCATAATATATAACATATATAAAATATTTTTTGAAATGCTTAAAATATTTCGGATGTTTCTATAGAGGTACATTTCCTTTTTCTTAACGTTTTTTCAGATTATTTGCGTAATTTATTTTCATTTTTAATAAAATAATTGGTGAATTATTTATAAGATATTTCCTAACTGGTAGTACATATATAAAAAAGAGTGATTTTTTTAATGAAGAAATAATGAAAAATAAATCATGTGCTTCAAATTTTATATCGCGGACTTTGCACTATTTTTTGTGAAAAGGTTTGATACCTTTTTTAGTACATTTTCAGTATGTAGGATAAAAGAGAGATACGCGATGGTAAATATTTTACGTATATGGAGATATAAAGAAATTGAAAATCTATTATAGTTTCCTAAAAATTATATAAATAATAAGTATACAATTTTAACAGTCACAATGTTGTGTTTTTCAAGAAGTAACAAGTAAAAAAGGCTTTGAGGGTATAACACGGTTGATAGTGCGTTAAGTTAACGTTATATCAATCTTTAACCAACAGAATACGTAATTATACGCATGTTTTGGCTCTTCTTTGAGTCGAATTATTATCAACGATACATTAACAGTTAAATCAAAATATTTTTCATATTTTTCTTTCAGTCCATTCTTAAAAGTACATTTCCTCGCCGAGCGGTCAAGGTCCGCGAGCCCAAGGTTTATTTAGCCGTTATCCTTTTTTATGCTTCCGCAAGTTTAATGCTTCATTCGCGGTGTTATGTAGAGATAAAACTATATTTCACGCCAGCGTCGCATGTATATGACCCACGCAAGTAACAAAGTAGGTTTTTAGCACGCATTCTGTCGGGAATCAAAAATCGTCAACCGCACTTAAAGCCGTTGAGCTGCAGGACGCGATTTGCGGTAACGGTTTGCTTGGTACATACGCGGCTTGTACCAGTTTGCTGCAGTTTATGGCAGGCGCGTAAGTTCGGTCGTGGAGTTGAGCGCGAGAGGGTGAGCTGTACGTCGTTGTTGTTACAGCAAGGGTAAGAAAATCCCGTAATGCGGAGCACATATGTGAAAGCACGTATGTGTGTTTAATAATAACGTGGTAAAAACGTACGCTCCAAATACGCGCGCGGCGTAAATACGACAGTTTCCAAAATTATCTAATATATCGGCACAGATGTGGGTGAAAATTCTTCAGAGACTTGTTGGAAAAATGTACGTTTGAGAAAATATTTTCTTGAAAATTATACTAATTGAGACAAGTGAGATTTTGATGAAACACGCCTGCTATAAAGGTTATATTTATTCGTATGTCACAACGAAGCACGTGCTCGGTAAGACGCATTCTCTGTAATGTCTCATCTTCTATTCACTTTGCGTCACTACTATTCTCTACAATTGTATGTACCGACAATACACTAATTAATTACTCCGAATTAGCGAGGATGATTGTTTATGCTAAGCTTGTGCTCAGCATACCTAACGTTACGCATGCTTTTGGTATTTACTACTGGCTGTCACAGCAGTAGTAACGCTCAGTAATTTATCCACCGTGAATGATATCTTGTCTCGCATTAGCATGAAACAGTAATTAATTATCTTAATGATTATTTTAGTAATTAATGAGTAAAATAGTTACGCTTAATTATTAATTAATATTTATAAACCTTACAAACTGTTATATAATATCTATCAACAAACAAACTCCTTCACACAAGTCTACCTTCAAACAAGTAGAATTCGTGACAATGGCCAATAAGTGTAGATATTTGTACAATTTCTTTTTTTCAATTGGACAATGATTATTAAGTTATAGATTTCATATTCAACAGCATTAACAAAATATCGAAGACATTATCCAGTAGTAAAATAATAATAAATAAATTTTTAAAGGTTTAAATGAAATGATATATACATATATATTTATATATATAATATTAATTTGACGTATACGGGCTTCGTACAGATTTGCGGTTTGCATTGCTACTTTGCTACGCGCGATTTAACGCGATACAGAATGTATTTTGATACCATGTTCTGTGAAATTCTGGGACACCTTATAAGTATTCTAAATAAATCCTTTCTTGGTTTTTTGCCGGTGATACGGAGAGAAAGATAGGCTAACCGATCTCGGTGAACGGTACTTTGGGACATCGGAGGTACCCTCCGGCATAAATATTGATGAGGTCCTGGGAGAAGAAAGTTTCTTGTAAAGTTTCTAAGAGGGAAGAGACACAGAAGGAGAGCACAGTGGCCTTTAAGTAATCCAGCCAAGAAACCGTGCATTATGCAGATCTCGTCAATATTCGGTCGATGTGGCGACTGGGCCAGTATTTTTAAGACAAATATAATTTCGAATTGCGTATTCTTTTATGTAATTTAAAAAGCCGTGATGATATAAAATATTATTTGTATTATATTTTTAAAAGAAAAAGTATGAAAACATTTATATTGATATCGTAATATAAAGCAACGACTGTAATAACGAAAATTAGAGAATCAATGATTCTTATAAGAAATTTTACAATAATTAAACAAAAATATAAAAAAAATGTTTCTGAAACGTATTAGTTTCTTAAAATGTTAGAATATAAAATAATATCTATAAGTTATATGTTAATTAAATTTTTTTGTATTCTCAGTTGTTTTTGATAAAGGAATTATATTCCGCGTATAATAAAAATAAACGCATGTTATAATAAAAATAAAATTATGCTACATATTTCCACTGATGTTTTGGCTAAAACTTAAATTTGAAAGAACATAAATTCGTGAAAAAGAAACACTAGAATATTTTTACTCTTTATGCAAGTTAAAATAATAATTAAAATCACCGTAGTTAGTAAGTTTTTTTCGCATCAAAATGGAGTAACTGTATTCACTAAACATTAAGATTTTATGAACATATTCGGGATAATCAATTTCGAATCGTTGTTTTAGATGTAAATTTGATGGAATGTAACCTATATTGACCCAGAAACTCGAAATGACGCCGCTGTCGTTACGCTTTTAATAGCTTTTGATAACGCCTATACTCAAGTGATTTATTAAATGCCTTCGTCGTGAATTTCGTATAAAAATAGCAAAAGAAAAGGTCAGGTCGTAATTGTTCCTGAAGATTTTTTATATTACTAATTTGTAAATATGTACGTGTATACTCATTGTCAGATTTTTCCAAAAAATTATTGATGCAATAAAACATAAATAACTTTCAACCAATTAGACTATTAAAAACTGAATTTTTTAATAAAGTTATCTCTTTATTTTTTGTTCAAAAATAAATGAAATCTTGTGGAATCTGAAGTATTAAAAAAAGTCTAACATAAAACATATTAATTTGAATACAACAACGAAATACAATCTCGTAAAGTACAATGTAATGCGAAGGAGTTTTATACAAACAAAAAAAATTGAAAATTCCAACACGGTTACAGTAACATTAGGAGTGTAGAATATTTAAAAAAATGGAATAAAGTTCCGTAATATATCATTTTCTCGCCCCCCGTATATCAAATTTAATTCCCCTTATTTCAGAGGAGGGCAGAGAAGATTGGTGTATTTTCTGGCCTCCTGTATGTATATAATCTCTTTAACATAAATATATTGTACTTCAACGTTGCCATAAGTCTTCTAAGGTGAACATTTTAATGTTGCTACTTTAATAAACAAAATCCTTTACTTCGACCGAACTGGCAGTCTTTATTTAAAAAGCACAAGCTTTTAAGCAAGTAAAGGATTTTGTTTATTTTATTACTCACTGGCGAAGAAAAAGGATCTTCTGTTGCTACTTAAATTTTATGACGCATTGCAATAAATTTCGTGACACATTTACAATACTGTAATTTTAACAATGTAATTTTACAAAAGCAATTCCTTGTATGCTGGATAAACGAAGATAGTGTATTCAATTCGAGTTTATGGCGGCACGTATTAAAACTTCCACCCGGTATACGAAAGATCATAGGCCATCGGCAGCCATTATTCCTGGACACAAAGACTAAGTGCAATAAATTATCATTACTCTCCTCGCTTAATCCTAAAAGCCTGCCGTGATATAGCAGAACGTCATAAGTGGAACGCGATCAATGCGAAATACAAAAATAAACTAATGTAGGAGACATGTTAATCGCTTTTCTAATTCTATTCTCTCACTCAATATTACCCTCTTTCCCAATACATTAATTGTCCCCCGTTTTTGGATACTTACCAGGAATGCTGGTACCGAGGGCGACAAAAACAATCGCGGTGACAGAGTCCTTGATACCCAAAGTGCAACCGAAATACGAGGCAATGTCGCCGATTATCGCCGTAACAACGCCGATCCCTAGAATGCTGACGATAAAGCACAAATAACCACCGGCGATATCTGAAATTTTAAAAATGTTTCCCTTAGTTTTGCGAAAGTACAACAAAGAGATTTTTAAGACTGGATTATCAGATAATATAAATATTGTACGCGCGTATTTTTGTTTGTAAATAAAATAGAAGAAATAAAGAAATACATATATAAAATACATCTCGTAACAAATGGCTATAAAAAATTAATTAAAATATAACTTCAAAATTAATATTGAAATTTATTTTAATTAATGGATTAGTTATTAAAATTTTGGTGATATTTTGGGGACTAATAGAAAAACATTGTGTAATAGTACCAAAGAGCTGTAATCACTTTGCACGATGTGCGAGATGAGCTAAATGCAAATTATGTATAAAGTGACGCTCTTCGTTCACCCAAACATGCACTGCCACGTAACCACACGTTTGAGAGCTTAATTAGTCTAGTTAAAAGTCCACAATTTTTCCTCATTTATGTCCACTCTCGGGAGTAATGCTGCCTCAGATCGATTCAGCTTGGCTTTTACAAATCGCAAAGCACGTGACGTTAAAAGCGTTATTTTACCGTCTAATAGGCTATTTCCGATAAATAAAATTATTTGTAGAAATTAGTTTAAAACTGTCATAAATGGACATAGTTTCTATTAAAATTTTGCACGTGTACAACTCTTGTACAATTTTTAATCCAAAATTTTATATAGTGTGTATCTTGTTGTTCTGTACCTATACATATTATATTTTACTATAAAGTAATGTATTATATTAGACTATATAAAGTATGCAAGCTTTATGTAAAAATTATATAAAATTTGTTTGCAATATATGTATGGCATATATTTGTACATGTTTTCGTATATAATTTTACAAAAGCTTTTTAATCTTGTCGTAACTTATTAATCGTAAGCTTCCTAAACATATATGCAGCTTTGACACAGCTGTTCCCGATAACTTCCTCAACAGGGACTTATAACTTCTCGTTCATATATTTCTTATTTCTTGTGCTAATACCTATAGTCAATCGAATTCAATGATGCGGCAATCTTTTTCACAGCAGCTACTTTTTCAGATTATTTTCATTTGTATTACACTTAATTATATTCTTTTCTTCCTGTTAGATTTTACGCCACACTTGACCTTAAAACTGATGTTAGGAGACAATTTTTTTTAAACTACGTGGACTCTTAATCTCTAATACATTATTATGAAAATGGAAGAGATTTCCTTTTGTAAACGTAACAATATTCTTGAAAAGAAACTGCCTTCTCACATTTGTGCGTGCAGGTCTATAGAATTGTAATCGCCCCTCAAGATCAAACGACGAAAGTCCTTGACTTCGGGCGACATATAATGGTGCGGATATCTATTATCAGCTTCTAACATTCGCCGAACAATCGACCGAGATATTTGCAATTGAAACTCGCGGAACACCTTCTGTAGAAGTGTTATCAAAGACATTTAAAATTCTTTGAGAGCAGCGAGGCTGACGCAGTTCATGCTGCAAGTAAAGTACTCTCTCTCTCTTTCTCTCTCTCTCTCTCTCTGTGAGCGCGCGCAACAAAAGGAATTTATTATTAGAAATCTGTATACGAAGATACATTTACGATGGAACGCGTGGGCGTTAATATAGCTAAAGAGTCTGCAAACACGCGGTTAGTTTTACTGTTAACACGTGGCCGATGTATATTATTGCAACACGCTTGCTATACTCCCCCTACTAAATTTGACTTGATTTATTAAAGTGTTTCGTGGTCTTTTACAAACAATTCGCTCTTATTGATTACGTTATGTAATTATTGGAAAATTGAGCGGGTTCGGAAAATTCTCTTAAAAAATAAACTCGCGACTAACGATTTTTAATAAAAAACTTGAAAATATTAAAATTAGTTACAATGTAACACGGATTATTTATTCTAATCAAAAACGTAAATGAAAACATATTCTATACTAAAGAAATATTCTGTTTTTAGTAATCTGGTTTTTCTTATTTTGTTTCTATTTTAAGTTCTCCTATACATAAACGTGATATTGTCTTTAGCACCAAGAAACGATTTTTTGTGAGAAAAGTTTTTCTAGTTTACTTACTAATTTACTTTTACTACTTTATTTATTTTATTAAAGCAAACTTATCACATCCGTTGTAAAAAATTTATTAATTCTTAATTTTTATTAAGGAAAAACATATTTAGTATCTCGCTACTCTGTAACAGCTATTGTCGTAAATTCTGAACGAAATTTACTTTGGAAAAGAGTATAGAAGCACAGGTCACCATAAATCACTTGGAAATTTCGTGGAAATTTCATGAGAGAGAGCAGAGAACCGCTGTACGTGTAGCGTTCTCTATCTATCTATCTATCTGTTTGTATATGTGCGCACATTTGTCTGTATATATGTATATAAGTATTGTATATGCCTATATAGGATTTTCGAATATCCTGAAAAAGCGGTGAAACTGTAGAGATATTGCGCGCTAAAACGTTTCTGCGTTTAGCTAAATAATTTAAAACGGCCAATTTTCGAGAAATTAAAGGATGTTAAAAATATATTTAATAATTTCAATAAAAATATACAAT